TCGTCCTGCGACGTACTCGGCGATGTTGGACGGGCTGGGCACGACGCAGCAGCTGAGGGCGCTGCGGGTGACGCCCATGTCGCGGATGTCGTACCAGTCGTCGGTGCGTTTGTCGTAGCACTCCACGTTGAAAGTGGTCGTGGAACCGTTGAAGCCCCCGACCGCAAACAGGAGCTCGTCCACCGCGCCGATGCCGAAGTTGCTGCGAGGGCTGAGCATGTCGGGGAGCGCGCGCCAGGCGTCGTCCTGCGGGGCGTACGCCTCTGCGCTGCGCAGCCGGCTGAACCCGCCGGAGAGGCAGCGCTGAAACGGCCGTTCCCAGGCGGCCGCGTCGCTTCGTGCACGAGGAGGACGGTAATGGAGAGCAGGGAGCCTCTGGCACGACTGGTCACAGACCTCCGGCTGCTTCCTCGTCCTGTCTGGGGCTTCCCCAAGGGTTTTGTGCAGCTGTGGGATTCTGCACTTGGCGGGGTTGAGTGCAGGGTGCAGGGGGGCACACGGGACCAAGCAAACATTCTGTGCTGCTGTGAGCAGCAGCGAAAAGTAGCTTCTGCGCTGCAGCTGCTTACACGTTGTCTGTGCATTTCTCGCAACACAAAGTGCGCGGGTGATGATGTTCTCGGGAGGTGTGTCTGGGTCTTTCTCCCTAGATCTGACTTAACAAGCACACGGTCAGCCTGAAGATCTGGGAGCTGCCTGTCAGCCAGAGGAAGTCCCAAGCGGGTGTCCGGTGATGGCGCTGCCCCCTCTCCTTACCGCATAGACTTCGCCGCCGCACGCGGTCACGCCCACGCCGCTCCGCCGGCTGCCCATCGGGGCGATGAAGCTCCACTGGTTAGTTTCGGTGCTAAACACCCCTGCTGTGCAACAGCACCCTAAGCTGCCGTTGAACCCGCCGCATATGTACACCTGTTTGGGGGAGGGAAAAAAGTGGGAGCGGGCCCATCAGATCCTCAGTGGGAGGACACGTTGAGGAGACAAGGAATGGTGTGGCTGCGCCC